CATGCTAAACCTACCTATCATAGGTCACACTATGCGAGATTCGCATAGTGTGTTTAGCATGCTAGAAAACACGTGCAATTTTTCTCTCTACGAGAGAATTCGAGCTTCGAGCCTAGTTTTTCGTTGCCGAAAAATGTAAGATTAATAACATTTTGCAAACTTTTTTTCGCAAGAATAGAATAAAAGATTTCCTTTAGATCGATGTTAAAAATCGATGAAGAATATTGTGTCTAACAAAAATTTTTCTATTAAGAAAATTAATGAGATAGCATCAAGAAAATATTTCTTCTAGATTTTCATTCTAGATTTTAAAATTTTTCATTTAAGAAGAAAATCGATCTTATTTTCTTATAGATCAAGAAGTAATAGCATTGAATATAGAATGTATGTACTTTTCTGTGAGTTTTTGAATATGTACTTACTGATCTGTGTACGTGCATTGATTTGTCGTTAAGTGATCTGAGTGCACCGTTTCCAATTCGTGCATTTCGTGTCGATCATTTATATCTGTTGATATTACATTTATTATATATGTTGATCCTCGATTATCTGATAATGTGTCTTCATCTTCTATATTTTCTGAACGTATATTTTGGATTATTTCTTCCACATTATCTTCCATATTAAATTTATCTATACCATGCTTGTTAAGTAAATGCTCTTTTAATTTTTTTTTTAAACGTGTTTTTTTATACGTTACGTTTTCGTCACAATGTTTGCACTGTATGTTAGACGTTTTTAAAGTATAATGTTCTAACAGCCACGTTTTATCATGGTTTTGCACCTTCATCAATGTGACTGTGTGTTTTGATCCGGGCAGCGACTGAATGTGATGAATAGAAATTGCTTCAAGAAGTACCGAAAAGCGACACCTAGTCCCTGTGTTGCCAAGTTACGATTTTCCCCTAAATTTGGAGGGTTTTAATTCCCACCGGAGGGACAAAATGTTTAAGGGAATTTTTAAAGGACTTCCTAAGATGAAAATATAAAGATCTATAGCTAATGAGTGCCAATCCTGGTAGTTCTTATTAGCACGGATACACCACATTCATTTTCGATACTATGATTTTTTTATAGATTTTTGTAAAGTTTTAACAAAATTCTACAAAAATCTACAAAAAAATGCTAGAATTGGAATACTTTTGTTAATTTTGTGAAATTTTTTCCACCAGGGATATGCGTTTATCACGATTTTTTTTTAGATTTCATGTTCGTGCAGTGCGAATTTTAGGGGGAAATTCAGGGAATTTGCTTCTAGCTGTTGTTTATGGGAAATTTTAAGATACGTTTTAAAGGAGCACTTTTAAAATCATTTGGGTAGCGATCATGTAACTTTTTCCTTAGGGTGGAAACGTGAAAATTTTTCATATGTTGTGTGTATATGTACATACATATGTATATACATATCAGTGTATATGTACATGTTGAAGAATATATGCAGTTTATTGAGAATTCATAAACGGAAAAATACTCCACAAAGCGACATAAAAATTGTATTGAAACGCAATAGCACTTCAATATTTCGTATTGTCTATACATATATATGAAACATCGAGCGCTTTCGCGTTCGGAAATTGCGTCATCCTGTATTTGTTCCTTGTGATTAAAATGTTATTATATCGTACGCGATTTTTTATCGTTTATATTCTGGAAATAGTGGTAACGAACTAAAGACGATAAAGGTGCCTTTTCATGTTGACGCTCGACGCTCCTTTTTAGAGTCAAAACAGATCATGTGATAAAAATTGACAAATATCAAGCGACAAATTTCGACGTAACCTATTTTGATGCTAAAAGCGAGCGTCGAGCGTCTGCATGGAAAGGTACCTTAAAGATACTTGCGTAAAGTACGCACGCACTCACTCACTTGGTTGTAAGGGTGCAGTCCCATGGAGCATATCGCGCGTATCGCGGATCGCGCGTATCGAAAATCTGACCAATCGCGGATGTTCCGCTGTTTTAGATGCGCGAAAGTTTCGTTCCTATGGTTCCATGGAGCGGAATTCGCGTAAGCGGATCAGGCGGATAGTCAATCATAAAACGAGTTTCGTTATTTTTCTTTATTTGCCTTCATCTAAACAGTTGTATGATTGGTAAACCGCCGATCCGTTTACGTTAATTCCGCTTCATGGGACCATATAGGAACGAAATTATCGCGTATCGAAAACAGCGGAACAAAACTGACTTCTGCGAACGAATTACTGTAGGACCGCAGAAAAAAGAGGATAGCCGCAAAAAGTATAATCATATTGTGTAAGTAAATTTTATTAAATACTAATTTATTTAATATAATTAAATTTTAAAAAAAATAGAACAATTGAAGGGCTAAGAGCCAGTTATGTAATAAAGAACGTTTAATTTAAAACATAAAGATAATTAAAATAATCATGATTATAACATTTTATTTTATATTTACAGAGTCTTTTATTATTTATTATTTTTATATACGCGGTCGAAATGGAGCGTTATAATCATGATTATTTTAATTATAATATCTTTATTAAATGTTCTTTATTACATAACTGGC